TGTGGCATGGTCCTTCCCCCCGGGGGGGGGGGTGATTTTTCACTTTCTGCCTCTCTGTCTCTCTGTCTCTCTTGGTCTCTTCAGTGAGCGCACATGCCTTATAGCACAATTCTTCTTTAAAAAAATAAAAACTGAAAAATTTTAAAAACAGCAGCCTGTTTTCTGATAACCCTGGTGCCACTGGTTTATCTTTGTCGGTAGATGCAGGATATTTAGAATGGAGAGAGTAAAAAGGAGAAAAATAATTTTGAGATGATTAGAAATGGTAATGAAATATTTGCCTACATATCTCATATAAAACCAACAAATATTTCACTTTTAAAGCTTACTTTTATTTCTTAGCCATAATTTTATTTTATCTTAGTTGGCTCTGAGTCTCTGGGACTGGCTGGTGGCGTGGTGATTGGGGTCCTGGACTCCCACATTGCTGATTGTGGTTGGAGTCCCAGACCTGGCAGCTTACTCTCTCACTTTCTCTCTCTTTCTCTCTCTCTTTCTCTCATCAAATTAAAATAGTAATAATAACAACAAATAAAAATAAATAAAGTAATATTTAAAAAAAAAAACAAAAAAAAGATCTGTCCTTGTAATAGTTATATTGCTGGATTCCCAACGTAGTCAACTGTGGTTCAAATCCAGACGGGGTGGCTTAAAACTCAAACTGTATATGTGCCCAAAATCCTGAGGAGTGACTAGAAGGGAAGGGATCGTGGCATAGTCATTCCCTGTGGGGGGATGGTTTCTTGCTTTCTGTCTCTCTGTCTCTCTGGCAAGCACACATACCCTATAGCAAAGATTTCTCTCTCAAAAAAGTATCCTATGCTTGTAGAGATTTATTTAAACTATTTAAATATTTTGCTGGGGTTTTTTTTCTGATAAATTATACAAATAAAGAAAAATAATAGGAAAAAAACCCCACTAATATTCCAGGCATTAAGATTTAGTTGTAATTTTAGTTTTTCTCAACAAAGGGAAATATAACTCATAATTTTATTATGAAAAACTTTTTTTTTTTGGAGAGGTTTTCGCTATAGGGTGCGTGCGCTCGCCAGACAGACAGAGAGAGACATAGAGACAGAAAGCAAGAAATCACTCCCCAGGGGGGATGGTCACGCCGCAATCCCTTCTCCTCCATTCTCCTCTCAGGATCTTGGGCACGCACGCACACGCGCCCAGCGTGAGTTTAAGCCACTGGGTCCGGGACTCGAACCGCGGTCGACTATGTGGGAGTCCAGCGACATAGTCATTACACTAACTGCTGGTTCCCAATGAAAAACATTTTTATATGTGTGAGCCAGCTGGTGTTAAAGCCCTGGATCCCACATGGCCGACTTCATGGTGCAAGTCCTGGACTCAGCGACTTGAATAAACACACTGGGTGTATGTGTGTATGTGCCTCAAAATCCCAAGAGGAGAATGAAGAAGGGATTGCAGCATGGCTGCTGCCTGCAGGGGATGATTTGTCTCTTTCTCTCCCCCCAGTAAGTGCATGTGCCCTATAACAAAAACTAAAAATAAAATAATATAAAATAAAAAGTGGTAAAATAATACCTAGTTAAGAAAGAAGGGTTTCTAAGAATATAGAATTTAATATATAATGTAAATGAGCATAGGAAGAATGTTTAATTAAATTTACAGAGCCTAGAAATACTGGTTCTTTAGTCATCCATACATTCAAAATCATCAACTTTAACTGTAGGAAGAAATTATATGAGCATGGTACTCTTTTTTTTTTTAAGAATTATTTATGGAATTTTATTTATTCATTTTTTTAAAGAATTATTTATTTATTTAATTCCATTTATCATTATTATTATTTTAAATTTGGACAGAGAGAGAAGAGAGAAACAGAAAGGGAGAAAGAAAGCTGCCAGGTCCAGGACTCAAACCACGGTCAGCCATGTGGGAATCCAGCGCCTTTAACCACCATGCCACCTGCTGGTCCCAATTATTATTATTATTTTTTTCATTTGATCAGAGAGACACACATAGAGAGTGATAAGGAGACAGAGAGAAAGAAGGAAAGCGAGAAAGCAAGCCACCAGGTCCGGGACTCGAACCATGATAAACCATGTGGGAGTGTCCAGCGTCTTAACCACCACACCACCTGTTGGTCCCAAGCATGGTGCTTTTAAATGCCAAAGGAGAACAAAGAAATAAATGACCAAAAGAAAGATGGTAGGCCATTCTTGTGTGTTGTGTGAGGCAATGGCCTTACCCATCAATCACACGGCCCCTCATTCGATTCCACTGCTTACACACATACCTATCTCCTTCTTGACTGCAACTCCCAAGAGAGTTCAAAAGGAGACTTGGATTATAGAAGAAAAATGTGTTTGTGCAGAGAGAACATGGGAATTGAGGCCATTATTCTTCACTTTTTTCTCTCTGCTTCTAATAATCAATAAAACTACTTAGGCAATGCTAAGAAGACTTTCTATGCTCCCTAGTAAAGGGAATAGCCATTTTAAAACAGACTACCAAATAGTTTAAAAAAAAAAAAAAAAGAGCGAAAGAAAGTAAAGCTATAAATATGTCACTTTTATAATAGCTAGAGAACATCCACATCCACATACAGATTTTTTCTTTTAACCATGAAGATTTATCTCAGGAACATCCTACATGAGATTGTCCAAAGAAACTATCTTTTCTCGAGAAAACTACACTCTCAAAAAGAGATTTAGTTTAAATTCTGGACTAAATCTACCAAGAATATCAATCCACTATTTTATGGTTGGACTTTTCCTACCAAAAATCATGCTTTATATAAGCACAATTTACTGCTTATGATATTATAAACTGAATCCCCCAACACAAGCAAATTAAAAATGTGTTTTTTTTTTTACCTGATCTTCACTAAATAATACTCCTCGTTGTCTATTGATCCTTCTCATGAGATCCCCTCCATCACAATATTCCATTACAATATACAGGCTGCTGCTCTCTGTAAGAAAAGGAATCATTTGGTGACGGAAGTGTTTCAGATATTTATCAATTTTTTGCCGTTCATGTTCCAGAAGGTAGCAAATATTGGGTCGTTGGAAAAGTCATGATGTATTTTTCCTATGCAAAAATGCATCATTTCAGATGATCCAATATATTAGAAGAATGCAGTATTTATCATAGTTTAAAACACTGAATATAGAAACAAATGAACTAGGTTCGAATCCCATGTCACCACTTACATTTCTTAGCCTCAGACACTGGGCAAGTTATTTCATTTCTCTGTGCCCATTACTTCATCTGTAAAATGGAAATAATAACATAGGAATTTCCTCTTAGGATTATTGGAAGAAATAAGTTAATCCATTGCCATTGCTCAGAAGAATGCCTGCATGCAATAGGGTTCAATAAATGTTAGCTATTACTATTAATACATCCCTATAAGAGATTAGACATCTTCTGTAAAAATAGCGGCTGTGAAATCTTTCCTAGCACCTCAGGAAGAATAGCTCCTTCTCAATTTTGGGTATAAGTCAGCATTTCTATGGCACTGATTCAACCATGTTCTTGAATACAACAGAAGCCTTTCTAACCGACTTCTGCCTAACTTGCTCACTAGATTACTGGACACTCTTGGTTACTGTTGTCCACTTAGGGTTACCACAGGGTGGTACGAGGCTCTCTAGCATGTCCAAATACCTTCATTCCCACCAATTAAACTGATTTTTTCTCATATCAGCTTATACTACTTATACTTACTATAACATGAACTGATAAAATATGAATAGAAACAGAAAGATATGATTATTTCTATAAATATTACACTGGAGGGCAAGTGGCATGGTGGTTAAGGTGCTGGACTCCCACATTGCTGATCCTGGTTCAACTCCTGGACCTGGTGGTTTGAAACTCACTGGATACGTGTGCATGCATGCCCAAAATCCCAAGAGGAGAATGGAGGAGAAGAGATTGGGGTATGGTCATCCCCTCCTGGAGGGATATGATTTCTCACTTTCCACCTCTGTCTGTCTCTGGCAAGCACACATGCCCTATGGCAAAAACCTAAAATAAATAAATAAATAAATAAAAATTATACCAAATGCTTTTAGAGGACTCAGTAAAAGCAAGTAGTTAAATAAAAAATATTTTTTTTAAATGCCATTAACCCAAGTGTTGGATGAGACAAGTAAAATATAACTAGAAAATCCCTAAAAGAATTGTGGAAGTAGATTTTTCTAGAAATGATAATTCTACATTAAAGAAGGAAAACTGAAAAATCTAAATAAGGACTGTAGCTCACTTAAGAAAAACTATTCAGAACTCAACTCTAGTTATTGGACACATAAGCAGAGACAAGGCTTTGGATTTGGATCAGAAATGTGGCAAATGATTGTGTATTTGTATGTTAAAATATGTCCTCTAGGGACCAGCAGATGGCATAATGGCTATGTTGCTGGACAACCTTGTAGTCAATTGTGGTTCGAGTCCCAGATCCGACGGCTTAAACTTATGCCAGGCGTGCGTGCACGCGCGTGTGTGAGCGTGCCCAAGATCCTGAAAGTAGAATGGAGGAGAAGGGATTGTGGCATGGCCATCCCCACCTGGGGGATGATTTCTCACTTTCTGTCTCTCTGTCTCTGTCTTTTTGGCGAGAACATGCCCCCTATAGCAAAAACCTCTCCGAATATATATACATATATATATATACATATATATATACGTATATATATATATACATACACACACACACACACACACACACATATATATATATATATATATATATTCTCTATAGTATAAATATTTGTCCTCTCCACCCCAATTCATTTGTTGAAATTCTAATCCCTAAGGGGCATTAGGACCTCTGGAAGGTGATTAGGTCATGAGGATGAAGCCCTCATGAAAGGAATTCGTGTTCCTACAAAAGAGGCTCAAGAGATGCCTACTTCCTCTTCCACCATGTAAGGACACAATAAGAAGGCATTCTCCAAAACCCAGAAAGTAGACCCTTGGCGGATGCCAAATCTGCTGACACCTTGATCTTGGACTTCCCAGTTTCCAGAACTGTGAGAAATAAATTTCTGTGGTTTACAAGTTACTCAGGTTATGGTATTTTGATATAGCAGTCTAAAATGACTAAGACATGATTTCCTGCTTTAACCAGCTTTTGTTTTTCTTTTCTTTTTTACATTAGCTAGCTATCAGCTAGGATCTAGTTGAAAAAAGGGCTTCTTGGGACCAGCAGATGGCGTAACGGTTATGTCACTGGACTCCCATGTAGTTGACCGCAGTTTGAGACATGGGCCCAGCAGTTTAAAACTCACGCCAGGTGTGTGTGCATGTGCGCCCAAAGTTCCGAGAGGGGAATGAAGGAGAAGGGATTGTGGTGTGGCCATTCCCACCTGGGGGTGGTGATTTCTTGCTTTCTGTCTGTCTCTGTCTCTCTGGCGAACGCACGTGACCTGTAGCAAAAGTCTCTCTCTGAAAGAAAGAAAGAAAAAGAAAAGAAAGAAAACGAAAGGCTTCTTCAGGCCTGCAGATGGCATAGTGGTTACATCGCTAGACTCCCACATGACTAATCATGGTCTGAGTCCTGGACCTGGTGGCTTGAAACTCATGCTAGACGCAACTGCATGTGCATCCAAGATCCCGGCAGGAGAATGGAGAAAAAGGAATTGCAGTGTGGCCATCCCCCTTGGAGGGTGATTTTTCACTTTCCCTCTCACTGTCTGTGTGTGTGTGTGTGTGTCTCCCTGGCAAGTACACATGCCCCAAGGCAAAAAACCTCTAAAAAAAAAGTAAAAAATGGCTTCTATTAATTTGTTTGTTTCTCTCACTAGTGGGGTCCCTAAAGACAACGTAGACACTTTATTCTTTTGTATTCCCTGCACCTAGCACTAGAGTTGGCATGTGAAGAGGTTTAATAAAGGTTTGTTGACTGGAGTCATAGAAACACCTAAGGAACATAAGCATACATACAAAGAAGCTGATAAGCAACGGTAGTCTTTCTAGGCAGGAAGTCACTGATGCGTGAGAGGAGCAGTACTAGGAGTCTGCATGCACGAGGGTGAGGAGAACAAAGCGCGTGAAGGTCAGACTGGAGATCAGGGTGGTTTCTGAGCAGAAACTTGTTGATACTCCTTAATAGCTACAGATCATTACTTCCAGGCATGTATTAATTTTTTAAAATAATTATTTAATTTTATTTTATTTACTTATTTATTTTAATTTGACCAGAGAGGGACAGCGTGAGAGA